AGCACCACCTCTGCGATGAAGAGGGTGGGGATTTCATTGTTCACTCCTGCTTCCTCCAGGGTTCTCTCCAGCTCAGGCAGCTCTGATAAATCCACTCCCAGTAATTTATAATCATCTCCAGAAAAGGTAATGGCTCCTGGGAAACAAAAATGATGCAACCTCACTATGGTGCTGCTCCAATACTGCGACCAAAAGAGACAAACATGAGAATCAAATGCACAGGCAATCACTCACAAGGCTATGTCCATCAACTATATTTCCCTGGAACACGTACAAGAAAATCCCCATCACTACATGACCATGAAGGGATAGTGCCATGGGATCCATTAACTGCAGATCTAAAACTGTATTCCTAATGTAAATTTTACCTAAGATTTCTCATAGAATTATTACACTTACTATAACAACAAAACCTTATTATATTTACTTAAAGAGAATTTCTGAACCACTGTAATTCAAAATCAAACCTAAAGGGCTCTCATTTCTCATTTATACACCTTTTACTTTAGGCTAAGAATGCACCATTGCTTTGATAGAATGTCAGTGGTTCTCCTCACAATAAGAAAACCATTCTCAGGTTTCCTAGGCTTGCTTAGTTTGTTTGTTAAACAGATTTCATTTCTGTATAATAGCACTGAGTCCTGAAACTGCATATGCTATCTCTCAGCAAACACCAGGACCTGACTCACAGATCACTATCCTCAGAAATAAGCTCCAGTTTATGATCTGCATGCAATATCATACTTCTGTATCCCATCATAATATGGTAAGTTATGGCCTGTTGTTGACTTTTTCAGTCAAAACCACATCATTAAAAAGCCAAACTGTAAAGTACCTTTAGAAATCACCTACGTTGTCTCTGCAGACCAATAACTGTATCCGTCCTGAGGACAGTTAACCTATCTGAGATCTTCCTTTAATTACCTGAAGATTCTTGGTATGGACAGAGTTCCTTGCCAATATTAAAAATGTGAATGGATTCGGGAAGAAAATTAACAAGTTCATACAAGAGCTACTCACTAAGACCTGGGAGTCAGGAACTCACACTCTATAGCTGTCTTCCATCTGTATTTAAATTGATCAATGCCATCCAAATACAGCAGCTTACAAATGACCCTACTGCATTTCATTCCATGTTTGCCAGACTATTTGCGTACTTTGTCAAACTCCTACACTCACTCATCTTATTGCACGTCCCCATGTTTCCTGCAGGTTTATGACATTTCATCTTCTATAGCACATCATCTAGAGCATTACTGGAAAAGCTGGAGGAAAACACATGCAGAAAAAACCTCTAGTGATCCACATGCTTTACATTCCTCCTTTTGCCCCTCAGCACTCGGCTGGCACAAAATTCTCTAGTAGTTTCACAAGGCTCATTTTCTCCTGCCTTGGAGGGAAAAAAAAAGTCAGGAGATATAACAACTAATGTTTTATTACAGTCAAGACACTTAAGAGTCAAACCTTCTCTCTTACCCGTCAAACCCCTAAATCATTGTATAATTTAGGGTGAAAGGGACATTTAAAAGTCATCTTGCCCAAATGCTTCCTCGTGGCAATTATCTGTGTCATGTTGCTCAAAGCTTTGTCCAGTCAAGCTCTATCTCTGTTGTGGTTTTGGTCCCCTAGGCTGGAGATTCCATTACCTTTCTGTTCCCATTTTTAACTACTCATGTGGCACAATCTCCCCCCCTCCCCGATACTTTCATCATACATCACTGGAATTTCTTTTTTTTGCCACTTTCAACTGTCCCTTGACTATTTGCTTTATGCCTCCAAGAAAAGAGTAGGTCTGATCTTTCTAATCTCTCCCAATAGGTAAGCTGACGAGTGCTGTAAGACTCACTTCCCTCCCAAACTCCTCCCCGCACAGCTGAACAAAACCAGCTCTATCAACCTTCCCTCCTACACCACCTGCTCCATCACTTCATCATCCTCATAACCTCCCGCTGGACACGCTACATTTTGCCACTGGCTTTGTACCGGTATGCTCCAAGCTGGACACACCCTTTCAGAAGTTGCAACAGAAAAAAACTGACCTTGGTTTGATATAATCAGCTCCTGACAAATCCATCCTGGCTTCTTGCTATCTCCCAGATGCTTATCTCCCAAATTATTTGTTTCAACATTTTTCATAAAATGAATATGCTTTTCATCTACGATTTCATAGTTCCCCTACTATAATCTCTTGATTTTTGAAGGCTGAAGCTGTGTTTATTCCTTCTAAACACTTCGTACAAAAAAAAAATCTTCCATAAAAGCCATACCTAATCCTTTCCCTCCAGTGTCTCCCACCAGTGCTGACAACTCTTTCAGTCCTTTGATCAGAGTAGCTTTTTGGCAGGCCACATTTGGGAAATCTACCTCATATACCACAGTGTGATGCAGAAGACCCATATCCTTCAAACGGAAGTATAAGGAATCAAAGCCAGCACCTAAAGATAGGATCTGCAGAGACAGTATCAGAAAAAGTTATACACAACTCTAGCAGCATCTTGAGCATCTAGGTGTGAAAAGTATTAAATATCATCTGCAGAGTGACAAAATCAGACAACCTCCTGCAAGAGGCAGAAGAATTTTGTGTGGATATTGCTCTCCCCCAGATACCTCTGCCAAAGCGATACATGGACAGCCACAGTACTGCCAGTCAGATTTCTGTGCCCTGCTGGGAAAGGATCCCAACAGATGCAATAATGAGTCACTGCCCAGATGCCAGAAAAACTTTACACACATTTAGTGAGAGATGCCAGAAGTCCCAGAGAAAATATACCTGTGTCCTGGGTAGGCTTTGTGTCTTCAGCAGGAAGTCCTGAACACAGTGATCTACAGCACGGGCACGGATGTAATAACCCCTGTAAAAAAAAAAAATCAGTTGTAATCACTGTCCAGGAACCTGATTTCTCCAGCACTGGCAACTTCAATTAAAAAAAAAAAAAAATTCTCTAAGCTTCTACACAATAATTCCGTTTACAGACCTGCACTAGGAGATTATTTTGTCATCTCTAGAGCTTACTAATAAATACAGATCTCCTGCAACCAGTTTCTGTAAGACAACAGGTAACCCAGAGAAAATGTGCAGCTACCCCAGCTGTACTTGCTCTGTTTTGTGCAAGTATTTGCTGAATGAAAACATACTAATCCAGACACTGATGATGCTCCCTGGCAATGCAGATGACCGATACCTGAGCTCCTGCCCCAAACTGAAGTGAGAACGGAACAAAAAAGGAAGAAAAGCAAAGTCAGGAGACAAATCCTATTCTCTGTTTTTTTTAATAAATGGAAGTCAGACTAACTCCTGGAAAGCATTTACCATTTCCATACTTTGACAAGGACTGATGTCTCTTGCTTCTTGGCATTCTCTTTTAGTTAGTTTCATCCTAGATCCACCTAGCTATATTCCAGCTCTTTTCACCCCTTTAACACGCATGTTATCATCTTCACACCTCACAGAGACCACACAGCGTAAGATGTCCCAAAATTGTTGATAAATGCAATACAGAACTCTTCCCGTGAATTCAGCTTGGCATGCCAATGTTGTGTGACAAATCAGTGCAGGTTTCCTGATGAGTCACACACACCTTCATAGCCTGCAAGCTTCTGCTTGAATACCACTGTTTGATTTTCCCCTGAATGAAACTCCTTTGGCAATTCACAGTCTTTTGGATTGCATTAAACTATTCTCCTGAAATTATGTAAATTCCACCATGTCATCAGCCTAGAGGCCTCTGCAAACATACATTAAAACATTCTTGTGTCTTACAAAGCTCTGGAGAAGTTCTCCTAGTCAGACACCACTGATTCAAAAGATATTGCTTCCCAGAGCCACCAAATACCTTACAGAAATGGTAACATTCTGGGTAGTTAATGAGAAAACTATTGATGTAATTACATTATTAGTATATTTTCAAATACTACAGTTTTCAGCAGCATTGAACACTGGAGTTAGGAACCAGTCTGGTACCATATTTTACTCAGGACAAACCATTCAGTTTTGGTCCAGAAGCCATGAACATACTAACAGTCTAAGAAGGTTACATTACTGCGAGGCAGGGCACTGCAAGCTGCCACTGTGTGTACTTTGCTTAAAACGTGTTTGAGAAGCTGTGCCTTGCCCAGCTGACAGCTCCAAGCATGAGGGTTTGTGGTGGAAGGGCCCTTAAGCTGCTCTCATTCCACCCCTGCCATGGCAGGGACTGTCCCAGACCTTCGACCGTCCCAGGCTGCTCCAAGCCCGTGTCCAACCTGGCCTTGGGCACTGCCAGGGATGAAGCAGCCACAGCTGCTCTGGGCAACCAGAGAGCCAGGGCCCTGCCACCCTCACAGGGAAGATCTCCCTACCAATATGTAACCTAAACCTACTCTCAACTCAAAGCCATTCCTCCCCCTGTGCTGTCACTCCTGGCTCTCCGCAGTCCGAGATCCCCTCGCACGCCCCGCGGGCACCGGGGTCCAGCAGCCGGAGCAGCCGAAGGTGCTGCCAAGCACTCGCTCTCACCGGTGGATAAGGGGCGCTCGCCGCCGCCGCCGCCCCGCCAGAAGCCGCAGGAACCGGTCCTGGATGTAGCCCCGCGCTGCCGCCGAGCACTTGCTGACGGCGCTACTGCCGCCGGTGCCCTGGACCTGCCGGGACGACGACACGGCGCTGCCGCTGCTGACCCGCATCGCCACCCGAGGAAACACGGGTCCCGGCGCGGGATGGCGGAGCCGGGCAACCCCAAGAGGACTCCGAGGGGAGGGGACGGCAGTGCGCCGCCGTCGGATCCCCCTCCGTCCCAGCCTGCGCTTCCCCTCGCTCTCCGAGCAGCTGGGCCGAGGCTCCTCGGGCCGCCCCCCGCGGCAGCGGGGCCTCGCGATCATTCGCAGCTCGGGCGCTGCTCACGGCCCGGGGGTCGCTCACAGCCGGGGCCACCCACAGCACCGGGCCGCCCGCCGCCCATCCTGCGCACGCCGCGCCGACCGGAAGCGGGAGCGCAGCGCCGGACGCAGAGAGCGCGGAGCGCGCGCCCCCTCGCGGGGCCGCCCCGGCACTGCCGGTGCCTCCCACCGGTGGGGGGACCTCGGGCGGCGCCGCTCGTCGGGAGAGAGACGGAGCGCACCGGGCACCGGGCACGGAACGCAGCCGGCTCGGAGCTCATTGGGCACCAGGCACGCATTTCACCGGGCACCGGGCGGCTCCGGCGCGGTAAGCTCTGCTGGCTGCACGGCTGTCCGGAGACCCAGCTGCGTTCCCAGGCTGCCGTGCTGAGCACAGCTGGGCAGGGCCGGAGGAGTGTCCGTGGCGGCCGTGGGGAGGGTTCCTCTTCGGGATTTTTACCGGGCGTTACAGAGGAGCGGTGATAGTCTGGTGGTAGTGGTAGAGGTAGTCTATTCAGTCTATTCAGCCATTGTTCTATTCAGTGTCTCTACACATCTTGCAACCCACAAATTAGTGTATTTTGCTTTAAATAAATTACAGTCTCAAAGTGTCTCTTTTAGAGTGGCATACTGACCACTATGTATATTTATTACTGGGACCATAAGGCTCAGTCCTCAGCCCAGTGCTAGATTTAACCAACGACCACATGGAAGTGTTTCTCCGACATGCATTTTTATTAGCGCTGCTTTCCTGGTGATTCCTGGCAGATTCTGAGGCAGCCAGCACAGTGGCCACATTTACAGCACAGGATGCAGAGCCTTGCGGGATCTCCTGTATTTCTATTTGTATTCTAGATGGGTGTTCTGTTCCTGCAGGCATGAAAGCTTCCCTTTCCTTCAAGTTTCCTTTTCCTAACTGTTCATGATTTTGTTGATCCTGTCATAGCAGAGCTATGGATCTGGAAATTATATTTTGCTTTAGTTACAGGTTAAAACTTACAGGGAATGCTAGCTTATCCTGCTGGCCCTTCAGAACCTGCAGGATTTCCAATTACACTGGCAGCCTGAAATTTGTGATGGATTAAAATGCATGGCAGCAAGTTGGGGAACGGCCACTGAGGTCAGTGCCTCCAGCCATTCCTGAAGTCCTTTCAGTCCTGTGTTTCTATATCCCTAACAATATTCTGTGGAAACTCTGAGCTGACACTGAAACATGAACTGGGCATCTTGGGTTTAACACAGACCCAAATTGTTTTGGGAATAGGGGTGGAGCAATCTGGGAGATTATTCTACTTTGATACCACATACAAGGTACCACAAGATACCACATTTGCATGCCAAGAAGGGAATCTGGGTCAGATTTCCATGTTAAAGGATGAGAAGGCAGTGTGAAGCCCTTCTTGGGTCTGTCAGTGTCTGATCCTTAGCTGTCACAGATATAAAATCCTGTAATCACTCACGACTTTGTCAGGCTCTCATTTGAAAGAGGATGGGACTTTTGTTTCTATGTCCTTAATAGTTTTGGAAAGGTATTTTGTGGTCTGATTGCTGTCACAGGTAGGAATCTCCTCCAGATTTCTTGTTGTGTGTCCCACTCCTCGAAGGATCCCCCCCAGGGATGACATTCATGACATTCAAATCATGTGAGGAATGCACAGCTCACCCCAAATAACAGAAACACGTAGCAGGTCAGCATGGGGCCCCATGCTGCTCCCACCCGCACTGGGTGCAGAGGGGGAGGTGCACAATGAAAAACATCTGCTGCAGCAGCTATCTATATCCCTTATGTTTGGGAGGGGGCCTTGCCTACCTGACCTCAGAGCTGATGTTACAGAACCACAAAGGAGGAGCAGGGAGCACTCCAGAGTCACAGCCAGGCTGCCCAGCCTGAGAGGGACACACCAGCACTGCTCAAGGACAGAGGAGAATGGGTGATATTGTCCCCATAGATGGGCACTCTGTACCCACAGGGTGAAGGCACTTTAATTCCAGGTGAACCAAAGAAGTCTGAGTCTCTACGGGCTGACTCACCAACAGGAGATGTGTGCTTCTGGTTCTCTATAAGCATTTCCCGTTACCTGCTCTGCTTTCCCAACCACTCAGGTGCAAGATGAATGTTACCAGTTGATTATCAGCATGGTGTCTGTATGGGCTTGCACCTGGGGAACAGTTACAGGTCGGTATTTTCCTAAGCAGGAGTGCTGTGCTATGGAAGCATTGCTAGCTAAAATACTTGGTTGTAGCATTATGGATGTTGTCCTGTTGCTCCCCATTACTGTAAGAGTAGAGGGCTGTATTCATTTGCCAGTCTAGGACAATGTGGTAAGATTTTGATCTGGGAGAACATATGGTTTGAGCCTCAGATCTCAATCATTTTATTGTAATGTAATGTCACAGAGAGGCCTCAGTGATGGGGCATTTACTGCCCTTGTCTGGCTAAGGGCAGCAAAATACAGAGCTAAGCAACACAACTTGTGAGTTATACATATGGAAGTCATGAGTGTACAGTATAAACACTGCACAAAATACATCTGTGTCATCAAAAAGGCTGTGAGTAATAAAATAAGATACAGTCACAGAATCACAGAAAATTTAGGTTGGAGGAGACTTTTAAGAATTGTCTAGTCCACCCCTCTGACATGGGCAAGAACAGCTTTCACTAGACCCAGTTGCTTAAAACCCCATCCACCTGGCCTTGATCACTGAAAGCAATCACAGGAACTTGGTCACAGGAGACTTGCTTCCTGGTCATTAAGAATGTAAACATCTCCAAAAAACCCCATCACTGTCCAGGAAAAAACTGATTTTCTCATTCTTTGATGTTCGCTGGAATCTTGTCTCCATCAAAAAAAGTGATAGAAAGGAATTTTAGAAGATATCCTTAGATATAATGGCAGTGATGTCAGAAGTGGAGAGAAGAAACAATCATCCTCTGTCTTGTCACAGAAGTTAGGAAGTGCAGGAAACAGTTGTGAGGACTTTCAAGAGTGGTTTGTTTTATTGCCTTGTGGAGACTACAGTAGAGATATGGATGTGCTGAAATGCTAACCCAGAGGGATAGGCTTTGCACTGGTGGTGTAATGATGTAGATTTGTGAACCAACACTTGAGGAGATGTGGCAAACAAGAATGCTGAAGATGGAGTTTTTGTTTTTCTGTTGTTCTTGTTTTGCAGAGAACTTGGACCAGAAGATCTGAGGGAAGTACCAATGTGCTAATATTTATAGGATGAAAATGACATGTCTTGTGGAATTGTTCAATTTGACAGTATCAGCCCTGGACAGAATAATGGAAGGGTTGGCCACACATTATCAGAGTGAATGCTGACTGTCATTAACTCTACAGCCAATGTACATTTCCAGGAAATGTAATTTATGCCTGTTTGGAATACCACCAGTGGGGGTATGTTGCTATCCCAGGATATTTTGCTTCCCTTTTCAATTTTATGCAATATTGTGGTCTTTTAAAATCTAAACATTAGTAATTTAGAACTTCTTAAAGTTGTGTTATCCAATTCATGTTGAAGGATAAGAGCTTGACTTTAGGCACTGCTGGAATCAGTAATTTTGGAAAAGTTACTAGTTTTGAAAATTATGTCTTTTTGCAGGAGGACACTCTCAAGCTCCACATCAAGGGATGCTGAGTTCCACCTGCCTTCCTTTTGCTCACTGGGAGCACTCTTCATCTGTTCACCTACCACAGAGCTCCTGGGCTACCTGCTGCTTTCCCTATTTTAAGGACACATTACCAAGTGTATCTGTTGCATTTACATTCAGTGATTCTCTTAATTTTATGAATAAACATGGATTGTACTCATAGCATGGTACTCCTGATAAACGGAGACTGCAAGTGCTGCTCTGTTGCAGGTATGTCTGTGCTGTTCAGAGACCTTGAAACACTGCATCAATTTACTTTTTCTGTCTGATGCCTTAAGTTTTAAATGTCATATTTTCCAGATTCTGTACTGCCTTAGTGAATTACTCTGAACTTCATATAAAGTGTCAGCAAGCTCCCCTCACAGCTCAGTCACACAAAACAATCATTTTCCAGCCCCAAAACCAAGGACACCGGTGCAGCTTCAGCCCCAAAAAAGTGCAAACAACAGGGAATTGAGGAGAGCAACCTGGGAGGATGGGACCTCATAACCTGGAGCTGTAACTGGACAATGAACCCCAATACGGAACTGGACCAAAACCTATAAAAGTGTGAGAACTCATGACCCAGGGTCCATCTTGGGTGTAGCCACAGCCAGGCTCTTGTACTGCCCAAGGTGTATTCTTTAAAGGCCTTTTAATAAATGCCTGCTTTATTCCTTTGACTCTCTCCAGCCTCTGTTCTAGGTCTGCCTCTCTAGGCATCATCTGTACAGGCCAAACTGCAGTTTGAGTTATTGCACAGTGTGAGTTTTCTCAAAGAGTTACTGAGCAAGACAGAAGCCTTTATCTTCCACTGTGGGAAGCTGAAGTTGCAGAAGTAACCTTTACACCTGTATTTAGGGACCTGGTGTTTGGGGTGCTGTTCCTGCAGCTGCTTTGATCAGCAGATTCAAGCCTCTCAGAGCTCCATTTGTATTTAAGAGATAAAGACCCTGCCTTGTTCTTCTCTCCAAATGCACAGGTTACACACTGACTGTTTCACAGTTTCTTTGATGACTTGAAAGCTTTCAAAAATCTGGCTTTTCCATTGTTTCCTCGTCACCTCTGTCTCAGTTCCCTGTCTGTAAAATGGGAAGTTCTGCAATATCTTCTCACAGTTTCATCCTGCTGTTATTTCTGCTTCCAGGATCTCCTAACCTGGCACAGACATCTATTCAGTCTCCAGGGAGTCTCTGGTCTATGAGTCTGGCCTTACAGCATCTGAGCCACAATGTCATCACTTTGGGGCCCCACACGTGGATGGCAAGAGAGGAAACAGTATAAATTGTGCTGGCCCCTGCTTTCTTGTGGTGAGATCTGCAGTTGCCAGAAACTTCCAGCCTTTGTTCTGGGCTGGGAATGGGTTTCATAATGGGGAGGAAGGCACTTTCTATTCTGAGAGGAGAAAGCAGCATCAAGGAAGGTTTTAATTTTCTGCCACCAGTGCAGAGCAGACAGTTTGCTGGCAGCTGCAGGGCTTGATAAACAGTGCAGTCCTGATCCAGTCTGTCACATGGAGGGGGACTGCAGCAATGGAGCATGTTCTTATCCTGTGGGAAGGGGTCCTTGCTGGAGTGATGCCTAAAGATTTTTGGTTTTTATACATTTTTCATAAATTTGTAGCTTTATGGACTGTTAACACATAGTTATAATTTCTAGTACTTTTTCTGCTGTCTCCCATAGTTTAACAAACCCTTAGGAAGACATTCTTGAAATTCCGTTTAGTCTCAATGTTTATGCCTTCCCCTGCAATCAGGCACTTTGCCTCTGGTACAGTCGTGCACCCTGAGGTCTTACCATGAAAGTGTCTGGTTAGTATTTTTCAAATGCTTTGAGGGAGGGTTCTTGTTTATATGCCATTCTTACTTTTTTTATTCCTCCCATCTTGCTGATGCTAGTTTTCCATCTTGTTACCCTTATCTGTTGTTAGTGGTTCCCATTGCATTTGCTAGTTCCTTTCTCTGCCTTGTTTTTGTTTTCCCATGGTAAGTATAAATTTAAATTCTACATCTATTTGCAAGAGCTGCTGCTTCCTTCTGTCCCCCTTAATTTGATTAATATTTCTTTCCATCTTTTCTGCTTATTCAACCAGTCATTTTGCTGATTTTAATATCACCTTGCTTTTTCCTGCTGTTTATGAAATGTGCTTTGTAAGAAATGGATCTGTCTATGGCACCTTCATGGTCTCCCTGTCTATGTCCTGAGCCCTTTAGCAGCTTCAATGCTTTTATTTGACATTTTTCAGGTTTAAATTGATAACTTTTGTTGTTTGAACTGAGTCAGGTGCCAGGAGAGTGCTGCACTGCTGCTTTTCCATTGCTGCCTTTCCCTCTGCTCTGCTTCCTTTCAGCTCCTCTTCAGAGCAGTGCTGTGTTCAGCTTTTTGGTGTTGCTGTCACCAGATCCACCCTGCCAGGCTTTCTTTTTTCAATTCCTGGCTCTTTCTCTTTTTCTGCTCAGCCATGGCTCACACTTCTCCACTGATTAATTCTCTTCATGCTCTGATGTTCTCTACCCTTGATTAATTTTCTCCATCTCTTCCATTAAAATCTAAACCCCAAAAATCCTCAGCCTTTGAAGACTTCTAGGATCTCCTTCACCTCTTGCACTGGTTCCTCCCATTTGCACTTTGCCATCTTCCTAATTTAAAATTGGAAGGTTCAAAGTTTGGCTTATTTCCTTGTCCTTCATTTCAGGTGGATTTCACCTGTTTTAGCTCGTTCCTCAAACTCTTTCCTCCTCCTGTGCCCAGTTGTTTCTTTGTAAGAGCTCTCTGCTTCCTTCCTCAGGATAGGAACAGGAAATAACCTCTTCTTTCTCCGCCTCATTTAATTTTTCTCTTTCTTCTCCCCATCATTAATGCAGAAATTTCTTGCCTGTTTTGTTATTGAAATCTCAAGTAACACACTCCAAGGACTTCAAGGCGCAGAATTTCAAAGAATTTATGTCACTAATTATTTGCTCTAGAAGGGAAGATGAAGTTTGTAGGTGATGTTTGTACAAGTAGTGACTTTGCAGCATGATGGGCTCTGTATCTCAGTCTCCAAGGCTACAGGCTACAGCAAGAGTGAACATAAAACCTGTGGTGCACAAAATCACTCAGGCACAAAGTAAGTGCTATGAGATGTGTTAATTTTCTGTAAACAACACTTAACCCTTATGTTTTGCTTCTTCATTTGAGCAATAATCAATTGTACAAATAAAACAAAGATCTGCAGTAGTGTGTAAAACAGGTGAAGGATAATGTTTCTCACAATCATGAAGTTCTAAAAGCTGCATATTGTTCATCGTGTCCCACGGCTGTGACAGAGGCTGCTGAAGCCACTGCAGGTCCCAGGGCTCCTTAGGTGGGTGATGTTGGAGATGTAGCCTTTCTAAGTGCAGACCTGGACACGGGGTGGAACAGACCTGGGAAGGTGCTAAAAGTCCTTCACCTTTGACAGTAATGAAACCAGAAAATATTTTTCTCTATTAGAATAGAATAGTTCCACTTGAAAGGGATGTGCAAGGATCATCTAATCCAATTGCTCAGCTGCTTCAGGGCTGACCAAAAGTTAAAGCTTTAAGGCATTAAGGTCAATGTCCAAATGCCTCTTAAACAGCCACAGGCCTGGGGCATTGACCATCTCTCTAGAAAGTCTGTTACAGTGTTTGACCAGCCTTTCTGTTAAAGAAATGCTTCCTAATGCCATCTGAACCTACCTGCTCAGATTAAAAAACCACACAGATTTTTCTGATTCCTCTACTGTTGTGCTCCCTGTTCACGTGATTTTGCTTTGAACACTTTTTCGAGTTTTTCAGTTTCAGGATGAATGAAGAATGTTCAGTTGCTTAAGATCATATTTTGCCTTCATTAAGGAGCCACAGAACCTGGAATGGGACAACCACCAGTACCAGTGGAGGCTGGGGATGGAGATATTGAGAGCAGTCCTGCCAAGACTGGGGATACAAGTGGATGGAACACTGGCTGTGAGCCAGCTGTGTGTGCTGGCAGCCCAGAAAACCCATTGGTCCTGGGGCCAGCTCCAGGGAGGTGATTCTCCTCTCTCTGCCCAGGTGGGACTGCTTCCAGCTCTGGGGACCAGCAGGAAGGATGGGGAGCTGCTGGTGGGAGCCCAGAGGAGGCCACGGAGATGGTCCCAAGGCTGGAGCCCCTCTGCTCTGGGGACAGCCTGGGAGAGCTGGGGGAGCTCAGCCAGGAGGGGAGGGGGCTCCCAGGACACCTTGTTACAACTTTTCTATGCTTAAAAGGAGCTTATGAGAACTACGAAGATACCTTTTAACCAAGGCCTGTAGTGACAGGACATGGAATCATGGTTTTAAACTAAAAGAGGATAGATTTTGGCAGAGCAGAGATGTGGTCACATAATTAAGCTGGGGTTTTTTTGTTTGCAATCCATGATAATGTAACACTGAATATTCTTATCCTTGAAAAACTCTAATCCTTGAATCTTCTTGAGTCTTCTGTTTAATTATGTCTTGTAATCTTAAGATCTACAGTCTAAACACACATATAACTGGGTTTTATCTTCAGAATTTAAATTACTCAGCGATGCAGTTGCTAGCATTCACAAATCCCAAATCGACAGAAAGAATACTGTGAATTGGACTGTCATCTTGTAAAACACATGCCATAGAACTTCACTGAATTATCTTTTCCTTTATTTAATAACATATATCAGGAAAAGAAAACCCTACCCCACAAACAAAACCCACCAAAACATAAACAAAAAAATTAAAACAAAAAGAAACCCAAAGCAAAGCCCCTGACAAGCGTGTTTTCACTGAGAAGTTACCAGTCACCAGAAATGTACAATATCGTTAGTTAAATTGCTCATATTGTTAATTACTTAGGCTGTTAAATTATGTATCCTGCTTTTGATCTGAATTGGTCTGTTTATAAGATTGCATCCAGGAGAGTATTGCATTCTGATACATTCAATCTAAAAGACCAGTAATTGTTCAAAACACTTTTTAAGAAATCTTCCCTAAATATATCTACTGCATTGGATATGTACCAAATATTTCACCTCTAATGTGGTAGAATTGATTAAAAATTGCATCCATTATCAATTGCTGCAGTTATGTATGCCCCTTCTGTCCATTCTGGAATGCAGAGACAATGTAAGAATCAAATGAAAATTAAATTCCAATTGTTTCCATCAGAAAAATGAGCATTTCCACACACTCCTTACACCTGTGCTGTTAACAACATGCTTCTGAGGTACAGAATTCAGCCTCTTCATTTCTATGGATTCTAGGTTTCTCTCTATTAGATTTCTCAAGTAGTTTCTCATACAGGGAAGTCTGACACCTAAGCCAAGGGCAACAGAATATTGGGCCTCAGTTCAACAACAGCAACAACTACACAAGCAAAACTGATTGCAATTTCAGACTGTAAAAATACAGAATGGGAATCAGAGTGCTGACTGGGCCATAAATTGACAAATTTATGGCTTGTTTGGTCAGTTATCAGGGTTCAATGCTCTCTGCCTTGATTCTTTTAGAAAGACCACGTAAGGAGGATTTATTGTTTGGAAGCAGATCTACTTACTTGAAGATTCTTGGCATTACATAATTTGATTTATAGACATGCCCCAGCTTTTACATCTTTCTTACTGTATCCCTCACCTCATGGACACTGCTGGTAGAGCCCATTAGAGAGGTTTATAGTATTGCCTGAT